TCTGCTACCTTAATACTAAACCTATAAATATATGCACATAGATCTATTTCCCCATCATCACATATAAATACATTTGCATATGTACATGCCTTTATTTAGACCTCTATAAGTGCTCTCTGCCTCCTAGCTCTTTCCTGTATTTCCTTTGACTTTTCTATTGTCCCACTATCATGTTCAGTCTTCATTTGGGTTTCAGTAATTCCTCTTGGTTACATTACCCTTGGTCACGACCTACCGGGCCTCCTGCAGGTGTGAATTTTTATGAAGGTTCAACTATGGTTAGCTCTCAACCTGACCTGGAAGACACTCAACATTTTTCAAAATCATCTTAATTAGAAACCTGATTTTTAATTAAGTTGTTTTAGAAACACGCTGGGGTGTCAAATATGTTAAGGCAAAGCTATTTATTTGACCATTTTAAGTGCAATCTCTTTAAACTGTTACAAAGTATAAAAGAAGAAATTTCTAAAGTTTTCCAGTTTTTTTCTTCCTTTGCATAACAACCAGGTCTAGAGCTAGGGTGTTTTTGTTTTTTTTTTAAAGCATTGGCAGGGAGATGTTTTTAAGAAATTGGATGTAAGGACCAAATAAAAGTGATCTCTAGTTAGCGTTCATGATTGATTTTATCATAAAGGATCCAAGAGCCTCTGAGAAATCGATTCCTCTTAAACCTTGCAGCATCAATTTCTCTTTCCTTAGACAGTGACGAGGTACATTTTAGGTCAGCCTCTGTCCAAACCAGCCCATGTTAAAGGAGCCTGGGGGATTTGTAGAGTGCGACTGAATGTGTCCGCCTTCCACAGGGCCTTGCTTCACTGTTATCCAATTGTCTTACAGGACCCTGCAAACCAGAAGGGCGGCGGGCGAAAGAAAACGGTGTCCTTTAGCAGCATGCCGTCGGAGAAGAAGATCAGCAGCACCAGCGACTGCATCAGCTTCATGCAAGCTGGCTGCGAGCTGAAGAAAGTCCGGCCCAATTCTCGCATCTATAACCGTTTTTTCACGCTGGACACGGACCTCCAAGCCCTTCGCTGGGAACCTTCCAAGAAAGACCTGGAGAAAGCTAAGCTGGACATTACGTCCATCAAAGAGATCAGACTGGGGAAGAACACGGAGACCTTCCGAAACAATGGCCTCGCTGACCAGATTGGGGAGGACTCTGCCTTCTCCATTCTTCACGGGGAAAACTACGAGTCTCTGGACCTGGTTGCCAATTCAGCGGATGTAGCCAACATCTGGGTGTCGGGGTTACGCTACCTGGTGTCGCGAAGCAAGCAGCCCCTGGATTTGATGGAGGACAACCAGAACATGCCGAGGTTCCTGTGGCTGAAAACAGTGTTTGCAGCAGCCGATGTCGACGGCAACGGGATCATGTTGGAAGACACCTCTGTGGAGTTAATAAAACGACTCAATCCGACCCTGAAGGAATCCAAGATCAGGTTAAAGTTTAAAGAAATCCAGAAAACCAAAGAGAAACTAACTACCCGAGTGACCGAAGAAGAATTCTGTGAAGCTTTTTGTGAACTTTGCACCAGGCCAGAAGTGTATTTCTTACTCGTACAGATCTCGAAAAACAAAGAGTATTTGGACGCCAATGATCTGATGCTCTTTCTAGGGGCTGAGCAAGGAGTCACCCACATCACTGAGGACACGTGCTTGGACATTATTCGGAGATACGAACTTTCCGAAGAGGGGCGTCAAAAGGGATTTCTGGCCATTGACGGCTTTACTCAGTATTTGTTGTCAGCAGAATGTGACATTTTTGATCCCGAGCAAAAGAAGGTTGCCCAAGATATGACTCAGCCATTATCTCACTACTACATCAGTGCCTCTCACAACACCTATCTGATTGAAGACCAGTTCAGGGGGCCAGCAGATCTGAATGGGTATGTCAGAGCCTTGAAATTGGGCTGCCGAAGCATCGAACTTGACGTGAGTGATGGTCCAGACAACGAGCCCGTCCTTTGTAATCGAAACAACATGACAACCCACATTTCCTTCGCGAGTGTCATCGAGGCGATCCATCAGTTCGCCTTCGTTGCTTCGGACTACCCGCTCATCCTCTGCTTGGGGAACCACTGCTCGCTGCCGCAGCAGAAGGTCATGGCTCAGCAGCTGAGAAAGATCTTGGGCAACAAACTCTACACAGAAGCCCCATCGCCGTCAGAATCCTACCTCCCGTCCCCCGAAAAACTCAAAAGAAGGATCATCGTGAAAGGAAAGAAACTGCCCTCGGATTCGGATGTTTTAGAGGGAGAAGTCACAGATGAAGACGAGGAAGCGGAGATGTCTCGGAGGATGTCCGTGGATCAGAATGAGGAGCAGAAACATATATGGCTCTGTAAGGAGCTGTCTGACTTGGTGTCGATTTGTAAGTCTGTTCAGCACCGGGATTTTCAACTGTCTATGAAGAGCCAAAACTATTGGGAAATGTGCTCCTTTAGTGAAACGGAGGCCAGCCGACTTGCCAACGAATATCCGGAGGACTTTGTAAATTATAACAAAAAGTTCTTATCCAGGATCTATCCAAGTGCCATGAGAATCGACTCCAGCAACTTGGATCCGCAGGACTTTTGGAATTGTGGCTGTCAGATGGTGGCGATGAATTTTCAGACGCCGGGTCCCATGATGGATTTGCACACAGGCTGGTTCCTTCAGAACGGAGGGTGTGGGTATGTTCTAAGGCCCTCTGTCATGCGAGATGAAGTTTCCTACTTCAGCGCCAACACCAAGGGCATCGTCCCGGGGGTGTCTCCTCTCACCCTCCACATCAAGATCATCAGTGGTCAGAACTTCCCGAAGCCCAAGGGAGCGTGCGCCAAAGGGGACGTGATAGACCCCTATGTTTGCATCGAGATTCATGGAATTCCTGCAGACTGTTCGGAGCAAAGAACTAGAACGGTCCAACAAAACAGCGACAACCCCATCTTTGATGAAACGTTTGAGTTTCAAGTCAACCTGCCCGAGCTGGCCATGGTCCGTTTTGTTGTTCTAGATGACGACTACATTGGGGATGAGTTCATAGGACAGTACACGATACCCTTTGAGTGTCTGCAGCCTGGGTACAGGCACGTCCCCCTGCGCTCTTTCGTCAGCGACGTCATGGAGCACGTCACCCTCTTTGTACACATAGCAATAACGAATCGCAGCGGAGGAGGAGGAGGCGGGAAGGCCCAGAAGCGCAGCCTTTCCGTGAGAATGGGGAAGAAAGTTCGGGAATACACCATGCTCAGGAATGTCGGCCTTAAAACCATAGATGACGTCTTTAAAATAGCAGTTCACCCCTTGCGAGAAGCTATAGATATGAGGGAAAATATGCAGGTAGGGAAAAAAAATCTCTTACTTACCTCCTCTACTCTTTATTTCTTTAGAAGGGTTCTTCTCTTACTAGTGGGCAGTGTTTTTTATTAATGATAGGACCCTCCTGGTGTGGTAGCAGGTTACACATTGGTCTGCTAAGGACGAGGTCCTGAGCAGCTAGCTCCCTGGGAGGAGGATGAGCTGTTTGTCAAGAGTTGCATTCTCAGAAACCCACCAGGCAGCTCCATCCTGTCCTACAGGACCGCTGGGTGAGTCGAAATAGACTCGGCAGCAGTGAGTTGTTTTATGGCCCCAAATAATCAGAATGTTCGTGCAAATTCATATACCTCTGAATCAAATTCCGTATTGCCTGTGATAAGATGTAGTTTAAAAGACGTTAATTGAGGTGCTATTTTATTTTTCCTGGAGTATCAACATCAAATCAAAATGTTATAATCCATTAAATTACCTCTAGTATGTAGTAAATTGATATATAGGAATATGCATATGGCAAAACTTGAATATAAAATATATGTGTTTTATGTACAAATACAAATACACATATATACTACTTAGAAGTATAGTAGATAAAGTATTTATAGATATTAACTTAGGAGAGAATTTAAAACCACACTAAAAATGCAATGCTCGTTTAGTTGCTTAAGTGTCTAATAGGTACTTTTTATTAAAAATCACCAAATTTAAAAAAAAATAACCAAATTAAACAAAGTTTCACATTTGAGCTGTTGAAAACTAGTCTTCTCTCAGAAATGTCTTTAATTGACATGGGTTCCAGATTAAGATCTATCACTCTGTGATCTTGAACAGATTACTTCAGATGTGATTAAGCTGATTTCTCCAAATAAGGTAAGAATAACGATACAGTAGAAAATGACTACAAGCATTAAATCAAAACACATCTCCATTGTCCAACTCTGAAATATAGAAGTTCAGTGTTGCCCTGGTAGCATAGTGGCTATGCCATGGGCTGCTAACTCTGGGGTCAGCCGTTCAAAACCACCAGCCTGCTCTGCAAGAGAAAGATGAGATTTTCTACTCCCATAAAGAGCTACAGTCCCCAAAACCCACAGGGGCAGTTCTACCCTGTCCTAGAGGGTCGGTATAAGTCAGCATTGATCTGACAGTAATGAGTTAGGGTTTTTCTTCCTCTTCAGTTCTTTAATGCTAACAATTGAGAGGTGGTTGCAGTTTTCTCCATTTCTACACAAATTATATTTAATCTATTTATTTTAGCCTTCTATTATTGAAGCTACAAATATTTACTCACGGTCTGCAAGGTGCCAGGACATGATGGGTGACAGAAGCAGCCACACTCTGTTTATGAGAGCAAAAAGGCAAAGCATACCATTCAACTGACTTGACTGATTCCCCAGTGAACACAGTTTCTCACTAAAAATCCCACATTTTCAAGATAGTAAACAAGTTTGAAGAGCTTCAGCAATTTTCCAAATACTGCAATTAAGGAATAGCAGTGTTGGCTACCTAATGCGAACATTCATATCATTCACGGCCCTTGGTCACATGATGCAGACCCCTGGCTCAGGGCCAGGCAGCGTTTCATTCTGTTGTATACAGGGTCATCATGAGCAGTGCTAATTCTAACAACAGAAACTCAAACCCAAATGGACAAGAAGGGGCAAACCTTCTCATACAGTGTTTCACAGTGAACTTGTGGAGTAGGGTTATCATCAGTTCAATTTGAAGTTGCTAAAATCGTGGACAGTGAATCATGGATTGTCTCCTCTTGTAAAGATCTGCAGTCTTGAAACCCTAGGGAGCAGTTCTGCTTGTTCTGTAGGGGTCTGTGAGTCCGAGTTCATTGGATGGAACTGTGGTTGAAAATAGTCAGTACATAAATCACAAGTGAAAAGTTAAGTTCTAAGCATTTAACTTGAGGTAGTCTTGGCCCCACTATTTTAAGCACAGATTCCAAATATTGACATCTTTTATTTGACGTTCTCTTGATATAATTGTAGAACTGTGTTAAATACATACTCAAGTTGACTTATACTTCCCATTACTTGTCTGTCACAAAACCAAAAAAACCAGATCAGTGCCACGGAGTTGTTGACAGCAGACGGCAGTTCTGTAGATGGAGTAGAACCAGCACACAGGCGCCAAGTTATCAATCACTCTTCAAGCTGCCTCCCTCAGCTTCTCCTGTAGAGTTTCCAGTGAGTTCAAACTGCCAGCCTTCCAGTTAGCCACTTGGCGCTTAACCCACTGTACCACCAGGGTGTCTTCACCTATTTCAGGGTGTCATAAGTCTATTACAAGTCATTTATACATTTAACTCTGTAGATTAGAAACATATTTGGTTTGTTCCATGTAATAGTTGATGGAGCCCTGGTAGCGTAGTGGTTATGTGTTTGGTCGCTACCTGAGATGTCAGCAGTTCAAAACCACCAGCTACTTAGCTTTCTACTCCTGTAAAGCATTACAGTCTGGGAAACACAGAGGCAGTTCTACCCTGTCCTGTAGGGTCATGATGAGTTGGCCTCAACTTGATGGCAGTGAGTTTTTGTTTGTTTTTTAAATGTAATACTTGAGATATTCTCCTAGATTTTGTGTTTTGTATCACAGATACATTTCAAGGAGAGCTGGTTATGGATTAAGTTTTTTCAGGCAGAAGAGATAAGTTAATTTACATGATTTCAACATAAGGCCTTTGGGGCTAAGGATGATTTATATCTGTAGGCAAATCAGGAGAAAACAAACACCACTACTGTCACCAAGTTTATGGAACGCATAGTTGGTGAGCTAGGGCTCACCATTGATGGAAGGTAAACTATTCCTAATTCCCATTTCAAGTAAGTTTTTTTCTTTAAAAAAAAAAGCACAGACAAATGTAACTCTATAGGAACTGTGCTATCAGTGTGTGTGTCTGTCATCTGGTGATGAGACACCATTGATGCTGGGTCACGTGAGGGTGGGGAATAGCAGCAGCTTGCAACCTGCGGGAGATGAGTGCCCAGGAGAGGCCCTGCAGTGTCCAGTCACTGATGTTCCCGTTTCACGAAGAGCACGATCCAGCCCAAAGAAGGCATTTACAGACTCGAACCCACAACAAGCTCACAGCCAGCAAGTGATTCAGACTCACAGCGACCGGCTCCCCCTTGCCCCAGCCCCCACACAAGGGGTTGTCTAACTCTTTCTGGGGATGTTGTTGCATCTCAATTCCATTTGTCTACAAACATCTGGAAGCCCCTTTGCCTACGATCTGTGTATCTGTGAGATCTCGCAGTGGCATGGCATGTGGCCAGAATGGTAATTCCATGTCTTCTTCCCTACAGAATGCGATCGTGTCTGTGAAGGAGCTGTGTGGACTCCCTCCGATTGCCAGTCTGAAGCAGTGCCTGTTGACCCTGTCCTCTCGGCTCATTGCCGGTGACGATACTCCTTCAGTCTCTCTCGTGATGAAAGACAATTTTCCTTACCTGGAGCCACTGGGGGTGATTCCAGATGTGCAGAAAAAGATGCTAGCTGCGTATGACCTGGTAGGAAACTCTGACCCCGTATTTATTGCTTGTATGTGTAGGACACCATTAATGACAGGGACCCTTTTGTGTAGCACAGAATGACTGCCTTAGGGGTGCGAGGTAGCAGGGAGAGGCCTGGAGAGGCCTCTGGAGCCATGCCTTGGACCCAGAGCTCCACAGATTGCAAATGGAAAATGTCTGCTTTAGCAAGTAAAGAATTCTTTATCAAGTTGTCAAAAGTCTGCACACTTTCTCACCATTTAAATGGTTGTTAGCCTAGCCATTTGATTGAATATCTATAGAAATTAAATTCTTATTTAAATGTCTTTATGAATATGTGTTGTGAGTAAGTTTAGGAATAGCTATATTTTTACCTCCTAAGTCATCCCATAAAGAGAATGAGCATGTCCACGAGTTGGAATGGACTCAAAGGTAGTGAGTTTTAAAAATTTATGATAAACTAGAAAACATTTGTAACCTACATCAGATAAAGTATAAATATTGATAAAATAAGAGGAACACTTAAAGCCAGTAAGAAAAAATAAGCAAAGACTCTTATATTAATTAGTATTGAGTTCGGCTATATACAACAAATACAGACGGAGCTTACTTTGAAACATAAAGTTTTCATCACTCACGCAATAATCTGGGACTGAAGGCCAACGGGATGCTTCTGCAAACTTTGTAGGTTCCCAGGCACATTTCTTTTCTGATGTGGCCTTTATCCTCATGAGCCCAGACAGCTGCGATAGCATCTGTATTCCAACTCCCAAGAAAACAGAAGAGGAGGAGAGGTCATGCCCTCTCCCTTGAAGGACGTTTCTCTGAACTAGTATAGATCACTTTTGCTTACATTCTATTCTCCCGGGAGTTGACACACAGCCACACGTGGCTGCGAAGGAAGAGAGGAAATGTCTTTACTTCAAGGGGCTACAGTTGAAAGTCACCTCTCTGGCCACTGAAAAAGAGGGAGAGAATAGATAACACGGGACAACCGACCGTCTTTGCTATCGAAGTAAACAGAAAATGCATTGAGTCCTCTCTGCCCCTCAAATAATGGGAAACATACAAACATATACAAATATACAAACCTTACAATAGATTTGAAAATTTTTTAATTCCCTAAAGAAATATAGTGAGATGCTTTTCCCTCCATAAATTTGTTCATTATTTTATATGATGATTATATATTCCTCTGATAAAGATTTTTAATTACCCTAGTGGGTAATTAAATGGGTAACATTTGGGGAGAAAAATTTGGCAATGTGATTTAAAATGTTGTTTTGATTTGACTTACATGTCTCCTTTCCAGGGATTTATGCTAAGCCAATAGAAATGTGCATAAATGTTTACATTAATAAAATGTTTAACAGTAATGGGATTAATTGAACAAAATTAAGAAATTCTTATGCTGAACTGTTGTGAAGCCACAAAGTCATATGTAAGAAGAACATCTAATGATATAGAAGTGGCTGATAATGTAATGTTTTGTGACAAATTATAGTTACAAAGAATAGACAAAATGGGATTTTAGTTGTATTAATGTTTCTGCATGAGAAAATGTTAGCAGGATATTAAATGACTGATTTTATATTAGGTGCATGAGGCTTATCTTGGGCTTTACTATATATTTTTTTTCCAGTATTTGCCAAGCTCTTTACAATGAACTTGCCTTATTTTATAATTGAATAAAAATAAATGTTAAAAACAACATAACCTTTTATCACTAAAAAACATCTAGAAGAAAGACATTTGGAATAAAAATTATAAAACTGAAAAAAAAAAACCCACCAAAAACCCGCAGAGCATATTCTAGCTACATATGAATTCCAGTACCTCTTGTAACTTTAGTTCATGGTTGCCAAGGGGCAAGGTTTGCCCCTTACTATACCTCATTTTTCATTAAATCTTTTTTTTTTCATCATAAAAGGAGAGACTGAAAGCTATTCAGTGAATAGGTATAATTGCCTTCTAAGAGGTGAAGTTAGGGTACTAGTTGCCATAGAGACAGATGGTGGAAATCACGTATTCCTCCACTTCTTTTTTAAGCAGAGAAAGAAAAATCATCCACCAAGAAGGGAGCCTGGGTCCCTGGTGCTGGGCCTGCAATGGCAGAAAAGTTCCTACATGGTGGTGGGTCCGTTTCCCTTCCGCTTCTCTAGTGTCTGCTGGTGCTTCTAGTTTGACCTCCTGGCTCCAAATCTGAGCATCCGTTTCTTCTGCTTCGTGGTTTTAAAGCGCATTTTGTACTTGCAGGTATAGAATGGCTTTCCCATACTTAAAAGGCTGTAATGGAAAGCGGAAACACTTAGCACAATGCCAGCATCCTCATTGTTTCTCATTCGAAAGATTCTTCTTCCTGGTAGGGGATTGGATGTAAAAATAGCCCAGTGCTTAATGGTAAACCCAGCAGTCTGCACAGAGTGCATAGGTGATCTTGACCACTAGGGATGTGTGCCTTAGGTGCTTCTTTTCCTGGGTTAGGTGAACTGGCAACAGATTCAGGGAAAGATGATATTGACCTTAAAAGTAAATCAAAAACAAACCCACAAACTCCCCAAACAGCCGCCATATCTGACCTCCTCTGGCCTCTCTCTTGCCATGAGGCAGAGGTCAGACATGCCTGCTCCATCTTTCTTCACCCTATCCTGGTATCAACCAATCCTCTCACTGCACCTTACTTCCATGCTGGGGTCGCTGTTTCGTTGCCATGCCCACACCGAACTGACAGATAAGACTCACAGTTAAGGAGGTTTTATTAGGGAAGTTACTAGGCTACCACAAGTCAGGAGAAGCTAATAGTAAGGAAACAGTTATTGGTCCATGGCCACACCTCTCCTCTGCCAGCAGCCAAGTCTCTGTAGTTCTCAGCCTCTCAGCTACATAGTTCCTTGCTTGGCCTTTGCCTCTGTGGGCCAAGAAGCCAGCCGATGCTCAACCTCACAGCTTCTCTTGCTCTGTCCCATGGTCGCCACGTCGCAGTGTCTGGTGTCTCTGGTCTCAGCCTCTGCCACATTGGACAGAGATCTGAAACGTGCCCTTCCCATGGTCTGAGCTTTCTCTCCGTTTACAAGATGGCCTGTAAGCACCTAGGCATGGCTGATGGACTGACTAAAGTACAAAGAAACCTGTCTTGGAAGGATGGCTAGAGTGCTCCTTTGAGGTAAGAATGGTGAAACTTTGTCTCACATACTTTGGACTTGGTGTCCGGAGAAACCAGTCCCTGGAGAAGGACATCATGCTGAGTAAAGGAGAAATGGAGGAAGGCCCACAACAGGATGGATGGACACAACGGCTGCGGCATTGGGCTCAAACATGGGCCTAATTGTGAGGATGGCGCAAGGCCGGGCGGCGTGTGGTCCTATTGTACATGGGGTTGCTGTGAGTCACAGCTGACTGGGTGGCATCGAAGAGCAACAACATGGACACGGTGAACATTTTACAAACTGTTATTAAAACTACTTTTAAGGAATAAAGGAGGAAAACAAATGCGGGGTTTCTTGCTTTTTGTGGGGTGAGGTGGAGTGGCGTGTTCAACTTCAAATGTTTTCACTTTTCAAAAATGGTCATGAACTCCACCAATGCTATCTCAGAGGAAAAGTTGTAACCATTAAAAAGATGCAAAAAAGTATGTTTAGAATAAAAGCCAACCTGAAATCATTTCTGAATATAGATCAGTGCCTGGCTTATTCCACCATCAAATGAACCAAGTCAGGCCACCAGGTAGTCCACACTTACTGGACGGCAAGCTGGCCACATGGACTATGTGTTACCAAGGAGAAAGAAGGTGAAAATCTCCTCAAAATCATCAGTCCTGAGTCATCTGCACAGAGTTCTAAATGCAGCATTCCCCAGGACCTGTGATGTCTCTTATTCCTTCCCAAAAAGCACATGCTAATTTAATACATAGGGAAATTCCTCTTAAAGGTTTTTAAAAGTTCATCTTGAAATGTCGTTTTCATATTGATCTTGTCACTGTCATTGTATTTGAACAAATGCATAAGACATCAAAAGCCACATATCTTTGAAAAGTGGGTCTATCTACATGGCACTGCTTTAGAGGACCAAGGAGGGCCTTGTTCTCCTGCTTCCAGCTCCAGTCTGTGTCTTATTTAAGGCATCGTTCCTATTTGTTCATAGGGGCTTGAAATTTAAAAATTGCAGCTATTTCGTTCTGGCCAAGACTAAAAACAAAACCCCAAACCTGTTAAAATGCAAAGAACCTCTCAGAGTAAGTAACGCAGTGGGTTTTCAGTAATTTGTACCTTGAAGTGAATTTCATTGCGCCTGACCTACATGCAGGCATTTATCTGGGAAGAGGAAGATCAGAATGGCAGTGAGTTCCTCCAAGTCGTGGAAAATGAGGGTGAACTTACTGGAAATACAGTTTTGCTTAATAGAGCCCCTGTCTCCTGCCACTCATCGTGCTCTGAATTCAGGCTGCAGCCTGGTAAATGCCTACCTGATACTTAGGGCCACTGGAGCAGAAGTGACTGTCCTGACATCAAGCACATGTCACAGCCGTAGGTACCAAGTGGCAGCTTGTGGAAAAGGCACTGAAGCAAACAACCGATTTTATCAATCAATAACCCAGGCAGGGGGGAAAAAAAGTCTGAAAAATTGAATGTGGAATTGGCGCCTCTTTCCCAGGCTAACAAAAGACACAGGGGGTCTCCAAAGCTGTTGGTGTTGGAGTGCTTGACGCGGTGCCTTTTTGCCTAGCTCTGTGATCAATGAGATACCTTTCACGAAACTGTCCCCAGAACTTCATTTGCAATCAGACAGTATTTCTACGTGATCTATTCCTTCCCCCACCATCCGGGCCTTTTGCTTTGTTTTTAAAATAAGGTCTCAGAAAAAGCAAGAATCAATTTCCCATCCTGGATCTTCACTTAATCTAAAAAACACCACAGATGTAGGTAAGCCGCATATATAAGGGCAAGCGATGTGAAATTCATTAAACTGGGCAGATACCACTTTACTGTGAAGAGTCTCTGGTAAGTGTTTTAAGGCTGTGG